CAGTACTGCCTAACTCAACTTAAGGAACTCTCAAAAGATGGCAGTCCTCTAACTATTCTTATCAAGAGCCACAGTCAGAATGGTGAGCATGGAAATGTAAACAGAGGAGAAAGTTAAACTAGGACTATATAATTACGATGATTAGTGGAATGAGAAAACCCACTCTCCTGACTTAATGAATGAAGGACAAATGAGGTTCAGGGACCTTCACTCGTAAGCTAGGCCCACTGTAGGCTGTGTCAACCAAAGACTCCTAAGTCCAACATTAAGGAGAGCAGCCTAGGACCCCAGGTAAACCTGCAGAGCAACCTCTCTGTAGACCTGAAACCTGTTTCTCTGCCTCTCTGGCATTTCCTGACTTCCCTCCCCTGCTACATGTAAGCCCTTCATTTTATATTCAAATGGCCGAAATCTTTACTCAGAGATCTCAACACACCTATAAAATTCCCAAGCAAGGAGGTTATCCCTTCCTTCCTTGGCCACTCCTAGGTCCCCTACATCAATCAAGTTCCTGTTCCTTCATGCAGATCTGCCAGTTGGGTCACTGCCCTCCTCCATTCCAGAATGAATGAAGAAACTTTTGACCCACAAGAATCTTTAATTAGCAATACTGGGAATTCCTTAAATATCCTCATCTAGTCAGCCACTCATTCAACAAATACTGAACATCTACAATAACACTGACATCTGGAAAACAGGTAAATAAACTGAGTATGGCCCCTGTGGCCCTCGTATTTCCACTTTCCAGGACTTCTCCCTAACTTGCATGAATGTTCACAATGGAAACGTACCTGTCTGCTGCTGTCAGTCTTGCTCAGCCCTATGTATTCATCACACTGCAGCCAGAGAAATCTTTCTAATGTGTGCGGCTTCACATTGTCCACCCACTGTCAACAGCATCAAGTCCAAACACACAGTGTTATGTCCTTCATCGCTGTCTTGCAAATGGGTTTCAGCCCCGGGCAAGTTCACTAAGGATTCAGTGAGACCAAGGAATGACAATGGAACGTTCTTGGGGTGAAAGGGTTATAACCAATTTTATTTCCACAGTGGCAGGTCAATCACTAGAATCCTGTCCACTCAGAGCGAGTCTGTATGCAGCAAGCCGGTCTCTGCCTCTGGGCATCTCTGCCCCCTCAGTCTCTGTCCTCAGTGCTGCCACCACTCCAGCCTCTGCTCTGCTCTCCTGCAGCCATGCCACTGTGTCACCCAGAGCACTGGGCAGGGCTCTTTATATTGAGTCAATAACAACGCATTGGCCACACATGTGCAGTGAGCGAGCCAACCAGGGCCAGGTGAGAATCCTGGCCACAGGAACCTTCACTTTATCCACACCAGCCCTCAACCTACTGACTCTCTACCCAACCTTCAAAGGTCAGCTCCAACCCTTACCTATCCTGTGAAGACTTTTCTGGTACCCGGCAATTGTTACCTGCACCGCTGTTACTAGACCCTCAACATTTGTGAAGAATGCTGACAAAGCTCACTGAAAGCACAGATATGTTCCCTTAAAATGCAGGTGTGAGGTAGGCAGGTAACATGGATGGGGGAGCTGGTTTTATTCACTCCCTCACTCCAGGGAGCTCCTTAATAGGAATGACTCAATTTTATGCCTTAGCACAACTATACATGATGACAAGCAAAGATGACACATGCTAAATCTGAGCATGTTACAGTCTAATTTGTTAGACTGCTCATCCACCTATTCTTGCTGGATTATAATTCCTCAAGTAAAGGAACTTTGAGCTATTGAACCTATTTACCCCAATCAGAGCATCACACTTTCAAGTCAGGTATTTGAAAAAACATGAAGCATAGATGAGAAGAATCTGGCAGGCACTAGAAGTACCTGGCCATATGTTCAGAGTATTAGTTAACAGCCCAACACTACACTAGAGGGAGCTCTTCCGAGAGCTAATGCAACATGCGGCACTTGCACATGCGTTCACACGCACGCACACACATATACACCTGCACAGACAGCACTGCCAAGGGAAGCAGGAAGGAGATCTCTCTGCCTGAGGGGCTTCTTATGGGGAAGTCAGCCTGCTTCAGCAGAGCATATTTCCAGGGCTCATTCCCCTCACCTGACATGCTGGAGTAACTGACTAAAATACCACCAATCCAAGGGCAGGCAGAGGGAACCAGTGAGTAGGGAAACAAGTTAGATGGCATTCTGCTGCGGACGCCTTCCAAAACTAGCATCCTATTAGAACATGCACAGCAGCGATAAATGATCTCGTTAGAGTAAACTAAAGCAGACCCTAAACAAAAACACTGCTTAGCCATAACTGTTTAGTCATAACAACTATTCTATCGCTGATTCAACCATATGTCCACAGAGGGTTGCTCTAAGGCAATGGGAACTGGAATTATTATTTAATCATGAGGAAATAGGACAAAGTATTCATTTTATTTTTTAAGGTACCAGTGACAATGACTTGTATTTGTCAGTAGTTAGCCTGTGTGTCTGGGTAAGTCTTGCCACCCCCACTCCAACCTTTGATCTGGACAAGTGTTAAGTGCTATGCACCTGCCCCATACCTCAGCACCTGATGACCACATGATACCCCTTCTACATAGAAATTATGACGTTGCCTTTGCTTGTTATGAAAAAAGAAGTCAGTCACTAAAACAAAACCATTCATGTTTTAAAAATCCAACTCCCCACGCCATTCTTCCACTGTTCCCTCCCTGGGTATGTGCTGTTAACTGTCTGGCATCTATTCTTTCAAGTATTTTCACACAAACAAGCATATACTCTTCTTTTAGAAGACTGTTTTCATAAAAAATGTCATCATTCCATACTTACAGTAGGCTGCTTTTCATTTTTTCCAACAGTATTTACAGATGGTTCTTCATCACCCAAAATGACCAACCAAAAACCACTTGTGGTATCTCCAGAGTTGGTGATTATGTTTTTGTGGATTTTGCTTTTGCCTTTACAAATGTATCTACTGCTGACATCTTTTGAAAGTACTTTTTTCATTTATTCGCAGCTTATCCCTCCTAGTCTGTGGTTTTTTCATCAAAAATTTCCAGGTGTTATAATTTGAGTTTCAGAAGCATACTTTTGGTTCTGACATCTTATGTCTCCCGTGAGGTAAAGTGTTTGCTTTGATTAATCTTATCAACTTTGCTCCTTGCTTCACAAGTCAAGCCTGCACAGCAATTTCCTGTTTGCATAACAAGTCCAAACTATTCCTAATTATTTAATCAACAAGATGCTTCCATTAATGAGCAGTTATGTATTTTCTATGGAATGCTAACAGAACCATGTATGCATTCTGTGTATTGCAAAATGCTTTCTCCTGCTCATATTCAGCCCAAACAAGTGTTCTTGAGAAAGCAAGCTAGTTTAAGGAACTGGCCTCATAATTATCATAATTACCTGTTTACATAAAAAGATCAATGTTAGCTGTTTTCAAATTCAAGTGCAGTAAGTACTTGGCACCAACTTAGATGACTATTCCCAAAGGCTTCCCTTCTTCCTGACTCTCCCTGACATAAACAGTCCAGTGGCTTATTCTTATGTGACTGGGCGCCCCAAGCAATCATCAGAGCTGGGGGTGAGAGGAGAGGGAGCCCACTGCTATTTCAGACACGAGTCCAAAAAGTGGGTTTGCCCACTGGTGTATAAGGAATACTTGACCCAAAGGGTATAAAGGTGGGTGGGAAAACCCTTAATAATCACATTTAAACTACTAACATTTCACAGTTTGTGAGTTTTTGGACAACTAAGAAGAACTAGAATTTGTGCTTTCAGCTTTGGGGTCAGCTCTCCCAAGGACTCCTCCTCTGCAACTCCTTGCTCTGCACTCTCTCTGGCAACTATCTTCTTTGACTGAAATTAACATTGTAAAGAAGCATGAACAGTAATCAAAATGATCAGTCCTGAGGCACTTAGTATATGCTTTCAGAGAATTAGAAAACTGTAAGTAGAATCAAAGCACAGTGTGTGATAACTAAAAATTATACAACAATTTAAAGTATCTTGGATTCACCAGTTTCACATTACATGATGAATGGTCATCAATAACAAATGGAGAATCTGCATGTTCATCAGAACACAGCACGACACTCCCGGAGCCTCGCCCACTCATCCGACAACTCACTCACCTTCAGGCGGAGCTTGGGGAGAGCGAATTCTGAGCTTCTGCACGTCGAAGCCAAGCACCCGCACTCTCGGACACTCAGGGAGAAGAGTGGTTTTTATTCCAGATCCATCACTGTGGCTCCATGCTGATTCTCCTAGATGCCACGGGATTCTTACACAGCCCAGAATTCCTCATCTTCAGCGTCAACAAACTCATTCACCCCCTCATTTTCCCCTCAGATTTAAGGCAAGTTCACAACTATTATCTTGTCTATCACTAAAGCTATGTCATATTTTACAGGCTCCCACAGCATTAATCCTCAAAACCGTGGGAGTAGGACAATCTTCCTTATTCCAGAATAAGGAAATGAACAGTGTGGAGACCAGGCTTGCTCTTATTTTTGCAGGAACAAGAAAAGAGATGTCAACTGTGTAGAAACCAAGTCCTAAAAGTCCACTCTTCATTAGTTAGACTGCTGTTCATTAAGCATCTCCGGTGCACTTGGGCTGCCCTGCCTATCCTACCACGGGCTGAGAAGCATGACAGCTTGTTGTTAAGTAATCAAGGAACAGGCAAATCTTCCATGGTAAATCCACCAGCACAAGTACCACTGGCATTATTTTAACAAAAAAGTGTTAACTGGGAATGATCTGTCTTAAGAAAAAAACTCAGGGTCTCTAGCTGCATCACCTCCCATGTCCTGCACACAGAAGCTGGTGGCGGGGGGCAGCCGGGGCATCCTCCGAGCTCTGCTCTCACTCACCATAAGCCAGGAAGCTCCCCTCCCTCCTGCCTCAATTGTCCGCTCTGTCAGCACAGATGTGCCCAACAGGAATGTGTACACCTGAAATCCACATCCGTATACATCCGGCCCTCTGAGGAGCAGCTTTGCACTAGGCTCACCTGCTGGACATCCTGCTGGAAGACACACAGCTGCAGCCGCTGGTGCAGCCGGACCTTGCGGTGCTGCCAGATATTCTCCAGCTGCCGCTGGTGGTGCAGCACCTCGTGGATGACATCCAGCACATGGTGCACGGCCTTGGAGTAGTTGGCAGAGGCCGTGAGGGAGTCGGAGCTGCCAGGAGTCAAGGGCCGCTGCAGCTTGTCAAGGAGTGACTTCCCGTCCTGGCTCACCTGTCCACAAAAGAGATGAGCGACTGGTCAATATGAGCGGCTGTGCCCAGGTTACACTGCAGATTCTGTCCTTGGATGTGTGCACACACTCTTGCACACAAACATAGACAACATTTTTACTCAGACATATTTTATAAAGAAAAACTAAAATATAAAACAAATCTATTGTTATCCAGTGACACCACAAAACCAAATGCAGGAAAACAAAAGGACATTCATTATCATAAACCAGTGCAGGAAATGGTATTCTTAATGAATAAAATAAACATAGCATTCTGCCTTAAATGACATATGTAAGTCAGCTCATATAAAACTGCATTGCTGGCATATCTGCAAATTAAAATTTAAAACTAATAATTTAGAGATATTATGTTAGTGAGAGTACAAGAATCACAATGGAGCAAAATTTTCATACTGAATCTTGATATCTCAGTTAAAAAAATCAATACTCTAGCACGAGGCAAAGAATATATGCTTAAACTCTCTGAGATAGCTGGACAGCAATTTTAATTCAAAAAATAAAAAGAGAGTTTTAAAGTGCCATTTGATTTGACTTATTAGCTTAAAAAAGTAACTTTAATTAAAATGACACCATTTTTTAAAAGAGATTTCCCTGCTCTATTATGGCAGTTAACTATCAAAGTACAATTAAATGAAAGCATTCAGACTAACCAAAGCAGTAAGAAAAGGTCAGAGTAGAATGTGCGATTTTTTTTCTTTTTACATATTTAATTGATTTTTCATATTTAAGTGATTCTTAAGACTTATGATTATTCTAGATATGGTAGGAAAAATGTGACCAGATCAGACAGGAAGGACACCTGGCATGTAAATAACTAGGCTGTGTGATTCAGGGTTGAGTCCTCATCACTACCACCTTTCTGCTCAGTTACTTGTGAATCTGCAAACCTCCTTGGGTTCCTACTGAAAAGGAGCAGCCAACAGGAGGCTCCCGCAGACGTCAGCCAACACAAATAGTTTAGAGGCAAGCCTGAGGACAGACAGCAGGGGAATGGGGAATGAGACAGGCCAACACGGGAGGCCTCTAGCAGACCAACTGGCTGCAAGGGAGAGGCCTGCAGGATTTTCTAATCTCTTCCTTTAATCCTCTTACACCTTTAAGTCTGGAATGTAACATACGTGTTTTCCAATACCTGATTTTGATACCTCTGTTGGAATTGCTGACTTTGTTTATAAAGACTGGCTCTCAGCCTTCAAAGATTAAAATTGACCTATTACATCAAGATAACAAAACAAGCAGAAACAAGCCAGGTTGACATAACTAGGGGTAACAGGTGAAAAAGAAAAACTGAACCACTGAGTTCGTGTCAGGCATGTGTCAAAACAAAAGTGGTGAAAGTGTGCATCTTCTGGAGCATGGGTTGCCCCCACAGGTAACTGAAACTTGTAATGCAATGATTCTGAGGTGGCGAGGCACTGAGACAGAGATGGGGATAGGGATTCACTGTGATGGACTCAGAGAGGCAGATATTGCCTCAAAATGAAGAACTGTCCTGCTTTTCATACTTATCTGAGCTGGGCTCTATTTCACTTTTTTCTTTTTCTTCTTTTTGCCTATTTTAACATACACTGATTTTCCCAGGAATTCAATTACCCTGTCAATCAAAAGAAGGTGGTGTTTGGCTCCCTTGGGAACCTGACAAGTTGCTTACCATTTCAAAATAACACGGCAATCCTTTCTCAGTATGTGAGTCACCAAGAGGACATGTGGCCAGTCTGCATTTGTAGTTGCTAAATTCACAGTGGTTTTGGCCAGCATCTGAATATCTAATTGTTTTCTCTTCTATAGTGCATGTACTTAGCATTAAGAGATAAACATTTTATCACAGATCACCTTCCTTTTGTCTCTACTTTATATTGTAGTAATCATGCAACTTATATATGTGTACATATATATGTTTATGAGAAGACAGCTTATTATCTATAGATTTTATTTTAGCAGACAGAGAAGTATTTGTTAAACCACAGGGGCGCAGCATCTCTTAGTACTAAAAACAGTGCTGCAAGTCACTTCACCTTGTACAGAGCCTAGAAAGAACTCTTCAGAAATACTTCCCCCAAGTTTTACTCCTTCTAAGATACACTAAGTCAAGAAATACACACCAGAGCATATCAGTTGGTGAACATGTATCAGAAGGTTATAGATCACAAAATAATGCAGAAACAGAAACCTGCTGTCCCAAAATCCACTTCCTTCACTTATAGCCAAACCCCTACAGTGAGGAAGACCAAGACCACGGCTAAAAACTGCATTTCTCAGCCTTGTTTACAAATAGGAGTGGCCAAGATATAGAAATAAAGTGTTGAATGGGGCTTCCAGGAAAGCTGTTCAGGAGGCTAAGAATGCTCATTCCCCCTTGCTTCTTTCTCCTCCCTGCTGCCAAGAATTTGGTGGAGATGGCTAGAGCTCCAGCAGAAATGAATGACCTTGAGGCAACCTTAAGGACAGCAGCCTACCTACGACAAGGAGCAAAAAAAAAAGACCAAAGGATCCAGAAATCCTCTTACTAACACAGCTCCCACACCAGCCCAGGAAGGCCCAAACTTGGGACTTCAACACTGGCAGAAAGCAAACCTCGATTTGGGTTTTAAACCAGCAATACAAAATAACAACTGGGTTCCGAGCCCTCACTAAGTATCCCAAAGCATCCACGTGACACCATTAGTGTGTACTGCGGAGAAGGAATAAATTATCTGAGCAAGAATATTACGGTGACTCGGTCTCTCCTTGGCTGTCCTCACAACTGTTTTAACAGAGCTGGAAGGCAGGTATCATTTCTGGGTTTAGAACAACATGCTCGCTCATGGTGGAGCAGGGTGGGGATGGCCGAGGGCGGGAACACTCAAGTACCTTAACATAAGATGACTCACTGAGCAAAGCTTCTGGGAATTCCTAAGCAGGGGTCAGTGTCTCTGCTGGTGCTGCTGTGGATACTGTCACTCAGTGGTACACAGCCAGCAGCAGAATGATGGAGGTTTCCGGGCCAGAAAACACCTCTTGCACCAATACCAGACAGAATGCAACTCCAAATGCATGTTCATATTCATAGCTAGCCTTTCTCCAATAAGCCTTTCAGAAATAATTCTATTTTATTTCAGCATGGCTGTCATAGATTTATCAATTTAAAAGGTATTTTTCAAGCACAGAAAGAATATCATATATATTTTAGTAACTTTTAGCAAAATGCTGTTGTCTTAAGTATAACAGTATCATGCAGAAAGAAAATCCTAGGGTTTTATAAAGACTATTGTTCTACTGCATTAATATTTTTAAGTGGTACAGAATAACCAAAAGAAAATTAATGTAAAAAGGGGCTAAAATGTAATCAGCAGCCAAAATATTCATATATAACTTAACTACTAAAAAATAAGTATGTATAAGTTTATGGCACATGATGTAGTTCTAGTTTTCTTAACTAGAGTCAGGTTAACTAATTTACTTTAGTTTTATGTTTTCTATGTATGCTTTTTGTCTAAAAATGTGTCTGTAATTTTCAGGCATCAAATCCTGCCCCAGAAAGCAAGAATAGCTGCAACAGGAAAATCAAACTTAATTTTTAAAAAGCAGGACTTCTACAATTTTTTAGCAAATCAACTTGGCTCATTTTTCAGGTTCTGTTCTTTGTTTTTATTGTCATACAGTATTCAGGGACTTAAAGGGAAGTGGAAGTTACGTTTTACAAAGAGTAACGGTAATGCTTTATAAATACATGAACTATTATGTTCTAATACCTTAATGAATTAAGAAAAATGCATGTGCTAACTAAAGTCAAAAAAAGTGATTGAAGTTTAAAAATTTACCCTATCAAAGCTATGTTTATTCCTAATGTCTAAGGGGAGACATAACTATTTAAAATGTAGAACAGTAGTCAGGTTCTTGAATATTTACTTTTAATTAAAACTGCTCGTAAGATCTGTAACCTGGGCTCCTGTACGCCACCCTAAAAAATGTTTCACAAAACCTCACAGACCTCATCTATTCTTACTTCTGGCTCCCAGATCTCCTCATTTCCTATTAAGCAGATTAGAGCTAAGAGTCTCCAGCAGGAATATTCTTTACTAGCAAAAAGAATGTTGCTCTGATCTAAGGAAAGAGAATAATACCTGGAGATTACTGGTTAAAGTCTCAAAAGCCACCATCACCCAAAGACCATATGTGACCTATGAGATGTCAGTGAGGTCTAAATGTGATGTTGCAGATCTGAAAGTGCTGGGAAATGTTATTCCCAAGATATAACCAGAACAGGCAAAATACACAAAATACTTAAGGGCATGATGGAAATGACTACACTCAGCATGTCATAAAGAACTGGTAGTCTTTCTTCAAAACTTACATGAAACGAATTGGACCTTTTGCACGGATTCAAACACTATTTGTTTTGACTCTTTTTGCAGGGCATGGCTCTCTGTGGCCCGCAGAGCACACCCTCCATGCTAAGCCTGGAAATGGTTTCAGACACCACTAGCCTCTCCAGCCTTTGCTGAAATGGTTCCTGAATCCAGGTTGTAATGAAACAAGAGTGATGGAGGGTCAGCGTGCTTTGCAGCTGCAGTTGACACTCCTCAGCCAAACAGATGAACACACTCTCTTGGAGTCAGGAGGTTAAACCTATCATAAGACAGGTTTCAGCTCCCCTAGGATGACGGCTCCTCTTAGGCAAAGCTCCCAGGATGGACCTCTAAAAGTTAATTTCTATTTCTTTCAGATATTAGGTTTCTTACCCTAAACAAGATCAATCTAACCGTGTTTGACTCTCTAACCCCTCTACTTGGGATTATCAGAAAGGAAAAACCAAAATAAGACCAATAGGAAACTTCTGGAGCAGCCAGGCTAGTTAAATGTATGCAGAGAACATGCATGTTCTGTAAATTCCACTTGGACTTGACTTCTTTTGTTCCTACATTTCAAGCCCTTGCTTGAGTCTTGGGGCCATGTGACAGGCTGACGACACACAGCGGACACCTACAGCAGTGCTGCAGAACTACACGAGGCTTGGACTGCTGCTCTAGGGCAAGGTGGCCAAGCTCCACACACAGCTCAGGCTCGTGGTTTAGGAAGTTTCCCATGGAGGTGCCTTGTTTGCTCTGTTTCTCTCATATGCTAATAACACTAATCATGCCCTCGCTCATGTATACAGCGCCCCATACCAGGAGGTCGACAGGCTCTAGTGCAGCAAATCAGCCCTGGTGAAGTGTGCAATAAACCAGCATATTTGATAAATTGAGCAACTGATGCAGAAACTCAACCCTGACGTCCCAGTGGATCAGCGCGGGCCAAGCCAGTGTGGCAGTCCACCTGCCTCCTGCTCCAAGAATCACCACCCATGGCTTGGTGGCAAACACCTCAGCAGGTACATGGACACTCACTATGCAGTCTTACCTCATGTCTAAGTGTCTGGTGTTTGGGTTTACAGGATGCCATGGGCATACTGAGATAAGTGTCATTTGTGTGATTTTAGTTTGTGGAGAAAGCAAGCTGATGAGTTTGCTTGCTTAAAATAACATGTTAAAAATTGATGGCTCTTCATGCTGTTTCTAAAACTACAGCTTACCCCAGACGTTTATATTGCTTCACTCCCCTGTGATCAACTACATCAGACAGTATTATCCCCCAACCTGGCAAGCTGAAGCAAGCACACATTTACGAGGCACAGGTATGCTCCTGCTGCTGAACACAGACAGGAACCACAAGGGACAGGTCTAGTTCAAACACAGAAAAGCAGCTGTTTGTGTCCTGGAAAGAAATGCTGGGAAGGTTTCCCATAGCAAACTTGAGTCATCAGAGAGCACAAACTAGACTGAAGACATGGTTTAAAGAGAAAAATTGTGCAAGGCAGGCAGGCGAGAAGAAAAGGAAAGTGAAAGAAAAAGCAAGAGCGAGCCCAGCTCACAGTATTCATGCTCCTAATGGCCTAGCATCCATAGCAGGGGCTCCACAAATACCTGCAGGCAGCGGGGCCACCACTCTCTAGAACAGGGAAGGGATGCCTCCCAGCGTGTGGTCCCTGCAGCATGTGTACCAGAGTTGCTGATCACCGTGGAAACCCGTTACAAATGGGGAGTCACTGCCTCCCTGCTTTCAACCAGCACACTCAAGCTGGCAGACCGCTGATTCAGCAAAGAGAAAAGTCACTAAAAAAACAAAAGCAGTCCTCCCCTTCCCATCTTCTCCCCCGGCCCCTCCCTGCATGGAGAAAATGGTGCCAGGCTCTGGGGCAGGGAGGGCTGGAGCACCAACACGGGTGGCCCCCGCCAGGCTCTCCAAGGAAGGGGGTGGGAGGCTGGGCAGGGAGAAAGAATGGCCAGGAAACTGAGCAGACTGAGCAAATACACCAACTGACACAGGGTTAATACATATGAGGATGACGGGAGCTGGGTTGTTGCTGTCTGAGGAGGGATTTGTATACACAGAGAAAGGCTGGAAAGAGCCTTGAGATACTAGAGACAGAAGCACATGGATCTTTAAAGCAGAGACAGAGACAGACAGACGGATGTGGCAGTGGTTCCCGATGTGTGTGTGGATGAGGATGGACGGAAGGGTACATATCCAAACACACAGGTCTCCTGACTGTCTCCCAGAAGGCCTTGAAGCGCTGACACCCACAGGCAAACAAGCACTCTTGAGCACCCACACCTTAGTTTCTAAACACCACTACAAGGAACCGGGACTCTTGGGCGAGATGGCTGGGCCCAGGGATGAGGCAGGGCGGGTACACGATGAGCCTGGGAACATCTTATGCCAAAGGTAAGGAAGCACTCAATTAATGATAAGGACATAAAAAAAAAAAACAGAAACAGAGAAACACAAAGGGCTCCAAATAGCCAACTGTGGACAATTTAGGCATTAAATAGAGTATCAGATTATAACCCATTGAAAGCAGTAAGATTTCATAAATTCATACTGAAATAAACCAACAGGGAAGAATGGAAACAAAGTTCTACCCAACAGAAGGCCACCTGATAAACACAGGAGGAATGGTGGAAGTGCCCACCACCAGACGGCCATCATGGCGGCTGGTAGCTGGCAGGGCAGGACGTGCCAGGGGGTGCTAAGGCCACAGGAAGCCCAGTGAGAACAGACAATGGGCCACAACAGGATGTCTCCCCACCAAATGCTCCTCAGAAACAAAACTTTAAATGGTGACTTTTCATTGGTGAAACATTACAGATGCCACCTCACCAAGAGGTCATGTGGGTTCTGATGTAAACCCTGCTGGTGAACTGCGGCCCCGCTCCTGCCAGCCACCCTGCGAGTGAGCTGTTCAATCCCGCAGTGCCCTGGAAGCTGCCGCTGAGATCCAAGGGCAGCTCCGAGAAACTCGCTGTCAGTAGACATCAGGATTCCAGGGTCAGCTACTTTCTACATTACAGGCTGAAATTAGATGATGCCTCAAGGTAGCACACTGGGGAAAGAACTTAATGCTTTTTGGAGCTCACATAATCCTCATGAATTAATTAAAATATTATAGATCTGTCCAATTTTTGCTTTTCCTATAATAAAGCCTACCACTTACCTATATAGTTCCTAATAAACTAGATAACCAAATTAGCTAATAAACATTAGATGCAAAATTAAGAAGCACAATACAAAGTTTACTATTTTTTAATTCCATGAGCAACATAAAATAGTGCTAAAGAAGGGATCTCTTAGGCAAAAAAGTGGCTAGAAAAACAAACATGAAGATAATCAGCTTTCATGGGCAGGGGATTGGCTGTATCCTGAAGGACATATTCTAGCCCATCATACCTGTTGAATATGCCTGCAGACACTAAGGGGTCAAAAGGCCTGGGCCCAAGGACATGAGAGTGACAGCTATTGGGTGAAGCAGGAACTCAAGTGCCAGACTGAAAAGCAAATGGCTGATTTCTTCCCTATAATTTTGACAAGTTGTGGACGTAGTTCAAATCAAGGAAGATTTGGACTTAAATATTCATGAATCATCTATTCTGTGCTCAGCCTTCTGCCAGGTGCTGTGCCAACATTTGCTCGCTGAAGCCTCCCAGTCATCCTTCATGCCCGCATCTAGTATTACAGATGTTCACTGTTAAAGGAGAGTGGGGGAAACCCTGCTGAGAGCAAGCACACCCCGAATTTCTCCCCTCCAGAAATTAACTAGCATCACACAGGCACATTGGTCGGAAAGGCCAGATAAATGCTACACTTAGATTTCTCAAATAACCAGGAGCTTTACATACTGGAAACACAGGGAGTGCTTTTCTACCCAGAAAATGAGGCTGCCTCACACTTTCCTCTTTTCCAGAAAGTTCCATTCAGGAAGCTTAAACTGAGTTTGAGTAGACTGAACAGCATAAAAAATACATACTTCCTAAATACATACAGACAAGAAAATTGGAATTTCATTTGTTTTAGCAGAGGAAAATATAAGCACCTTAAAGGAAATGCACAAATATCCAGGGCCGTGAAGTTTGCTCACTGCCAACCATCCTGTTTCACTTACTAGCCCTTCCCCTTCCCCACCCACCCAGTTCAGAAGTTAAAAGGAAACTGCAATTTAGCACAAAATCTGTGAAGGCTTTTTCTAGGCCAGTCAAAACTTCAGTTTCTTTCAGCTTTGGTGATATGACATAAAACCGCTGCTTTGCAGCTGAAGTTGAACTGACCACTTACCTCGGAATAAGCAAGGGTGATGTGCTCATATATTCCCTGGTGGTGGTGAATGGCGTCCTCCAGATCCTGCAGCTCCGAGGGAAGGTCCACCTCCCCACAGGCTTTACACCACGAGTCCACATTGCTCATATACTTGAAAGGAAAAAAAAAAAGATTAATTTTTATCAATGGCAACTCATACTGAAAAATGGATAGTTTTTAATGTGGCTTTGAAACTTGGGCTGCTGAGAGAATCTAGGAATGCAACATTGGTTGAATCTCCATCTCAAATGGCACTACCATGAGCTCGCAGTTGGTTCCTGGACTCTGCCCCAGAGCTCGGCCTCTGGCAGGACTAGGGCTGGGCCCAGGAAGCTGCATTTGGAATGACGGCCTCCAGCGGCTCTGTAGCCTGTCTGGGAGCGCCCCTGGGGCAACTCTGCCCCATGTTATCTGCTTGACTTTCCATCCCTTGTCTGAATCCATACTTCTGACTGCCCTGCTTGCCACAGAGAGCACGGAGGCCTTGGCCTCAGCAGGACGGCAGCCTCCCAGCAGCTGTGGTCCAGCCTGCCTGCTTTCTTTCACGCTGAAATGCTAACAGAAAGCCAGAGATAGCTGAAATCACAGTAAGAAGAGCGGCTGGCCCATACTTCTACCTTTTTAAAAGCAGATGCACACAGGAATGAAAAGGAGGCCAAGTGCAGGCTGCCCAACTCCTCAGCTGTGCCCACCGGAGGGGAGGCTGGCGCTGCAGAGCCGCATGGGCTTTCTCACCTCGCACACCAATGAGGACGGCCTCCTCAGCAGTCCAGGCTGCTGACCACTGTTACAAGCTCGCCTGGGTTTTCTCCACTGCCATCCCCACAAGCCCGGGATTCATCTCAATAGCTGAGAAATCACTGCCAAATTTCCAGGGAGAGCCTAGCAGTATCCATCACAGTCAAGTGTCAAAGGCAAGCAATGGACGCCCAATGAAAAGACTCTAATTCAGTTAAGCCAAACAGACCCAGACACATTGCCCTGGATTTCAGTGCTCACTCCAATTCTTTGCCATCTTTCTACTCACCAGGATTGCAGAAGGGGACATTTTAAAATGGGGTGAACTCATCTGCCAGGCAGTAAACTATGCTATGATTCTCTTAAAATATACATGAGAATGACCTCCCAGTTATTGATGACATTTTCAGGAACTTAAAATAAACAAGTTACCCAAGTAATAACTATTTATAAGAAATACTTTTATTATTAATATATTGGCTTAGAAAAATATCTGTAGGCAAATCCTAGAGTTTGAAACTACTTCAGACAGAATTATGCATAGCCTCATAGCATCTGGTGGCTTCAAACATGACAAACTAGAGCAAACTCAGGGGACAGCTGTATTACCCTCCCTTAGGTGCATTCCTAACACAATCAAGGCAATGGAAGTAATCATCAAGTCACGCCACACCTCTTCCTCTCTGCAAATATGCAAGCATGACTACCTAGATCTACTTTAAAGTATTTCTTGGGTAGAGTGTTCTATACACGCCAATTAGGCCAGGCTCATGATGCTAAATATTCTCAATCTCTACTTCAGTCTATCTTCTTCCATTACTGCATTTACCACCAAGTACTAGATTACTGTAAACATTTTCCAAATATGAACTGACTGAGGTTAACCAAGGTCATTAATAAACCATCAGGTCACATCAGTGAGTAACTGTTGCTGTACATTGGCCACTACAATAGCCAAAAACAAAGCCGAGTCACAACACAGTCCAAACAGGCTAAAATGCTTCTGCTATGACAAGATGAAGATAAGTTTTAGTTATATAATACTTCACAATAATCAGGAATATCAGACTAATGTATCACTGTATCAAATTATCAAAATATATTCGACTCCAATTTTTGAAGCAACCAGTAAAGAGAAAGTAAATTAGAGTAGTTTTATATATGCCTGGAGTAAAAGTAACTTATTATTTCTTAAAGTATCCTGAGAGGGTATTGACTATATACACAGCTGAAAAACTGCAACCACGTTCTAAACACACAGGGAAGGAAGGCTTGCCAGGTGGAAATCGTGTGGAGGAAGGAGTCTGCACATCTAAGTTCACTGGGTTACAATACATCCCAATGATGGAAATAAACCTGTCTATGGTTTTAGACAACCTGAGCACCACCACAATTTTTGTCTTTTATTGATGAGATAGCGACCCTAGACTCCAAAGGGCGAGCTCCAGGTCCTGAACACTTTTTGAAAGGCTGACACCCAAAGGGTCTGCACCCAGTGCCACGAGAAAACCAGTTCTCATTCAGAGAGCTGAGGAGGAGGCTGTTAACAGGTGTCCCACAAAGAAAAGGCATGCTGGGGTCAAGTTTGGAGCCATAAATTCAATAATATAGATCCTATTAGAGTCTTTAATATGATAGTATGCAGAGTGGAACTGGGGGATGGGGGAGCTGGCCTGCCAGTTTCCAGATTTCTCTGGCCACACTTTCCCCCCAACATACACCTATTATCATCTTGAGAAACACAGTCTGAGATGGCAACAGTGGGGGAATATGTCTAGCACAGAGCCTAGCGCTTTGTAAAGGACAAGAACAGAGGGTGGCTCCTGTACTCTACTGCAATCAGAGCAGCCAGTTTAGTCTCTGACACTTTAAATCCTCATTAGACCCAAGTATTTGCAGACATGGCATCTGGCTGGCCTGAGGGTAAAGACAGGAGAGTGCAAGAGAATTCAATGCTTCTCCGTGAATTCCAATCAGGAGCCAGCTAAGGACTGGGGACCCTGATAAGTGGTAGGATGGTGACTTTGTAAAATTATTGCTGAATAGATGAAAGAGTCTGGGGCAGCCAGTCTGCAAAATCAAGGCAAGCCTGGATTTGGGAAGAGTGATGAATGTCTACAGCTTTAAACAAGAGAGCTCGGTCATTAATTAACAGATTTTTCACACGCACTTATCCCACTACTCTCCAGCTGCTGGTTGAGTGGGCTTCCAATTTGGGAGCTGCTGGCCCCCTGGCCTACTCTGCCTCCCACCGCCCAGGCTGGGATCCTAGCAGCTAGTGAATTCCACTCCTACCCACCTCTCGTCACATTGCAGGCTCGTGACGAAGCCACAGCTGAGCAGGTGGTTAGCCCAATTTAGGAGACAAAGAGACAGAAACTCCCTAGAATGTGACTTGATAAAATACGCATTTAGAGGGACTTTCTCCTCTTTGAAAAATAAAGACTGGTTGAAAAAATTCACATATATTTACAAATTAGATAGATATACGGATACATGAAGTCCAACTTAATTTCCTCGTTTTCTGTTTTCACTTCTAGAAAATGTTACCCTACTTTTTATTTCATCATTTCCACTTCCTGAGTTGTAATCAACACACTTTCTCCTAGTTCTCCAAGGTGATGAGCTCCCTCTCCACCTGGGCAGTCACAGGAGGGAGGGAGCATCTTGTGACAGCACCAGCAGAGAGACGCGGAGACAGGTCCAGTTTGAGCCAAAGCAGGCCAGTGCACTATAAGCACTTTAGATCTGCTTTCATGAATACCTTTTTCTTTTTATATATGTATTTTGATTCCAATTCCTTTCTACTCCATGAGAATCTTGTTTTTGTTTTATGATGAGAATCGGGCCTATGCTTTTAATAAAGTGAAACATGAAAATGGGAGAAATCACATGTGGGTTAATTGCCTTAGAAATTCAAAAGTGATACTCTAATATTCTTACTATTTTGCTCTGAATTTCAACCCGGACATAAGATAAAATTATGTAGATAGTAAAGTATGGTAAATTGTGTTTACAGTGAAACTTAGTAGGATTATTAATCTAAGTGCTTTGCTTGTGAAAGGACTAAAGACTGCCATAGACCTCAACAGTCTTAGCACGGTCAAAGCACTCCCCAGATAGAATACATGGACAATAGCGCCACAAGGCCCGTCTTACTTCACTGGGCTGATTTGAGGATGAAATGAGATTTTTTTTGTTGAACAGCTGTGTAAATTTTAATGAACTACACAAATGCTGGTTACTTTATTTTTGGCTATTTTCAAATTATAGAGATTCTTAAAGTCAGATACAATGAGATGACCAGAGTTCTGGTTCTGAAGGTGAACCGCTATTGGCACTAACAGGTCCTCCTGCAGGGATGGAAATGTGTGTCTGCTTTGTCTAGTGCAGCAGTCACTAGCCACGTGCTGCTCTTGAGCATTTGAAATGTGGGTATTATGGCTATGGAAGTGAACTTTAACTTAATTCTATTTTTAAATTTCATTAATATGTTGTATTTAAGTAACTTTAATGGCCACAGGTGGTAACTGGTTATCATACTGGACAATACAGCTCTAGATTGTTTTTATTTTAAACAGTAAAAATTGGAGATTCTCAGGTGTAGTGAAATCAAGTCACTTTAATTCTTTGTTTTATAAAAATATGAGTTTAATAACATTTGCTATAGAAGTCATTAATATAAAGGGACTGTCCAGTGGATATGTCACATGACCAAAAGAAGGGATGGCTGGAGCCTGAACACCATCCACCGGCAAAACCCCAGACACTGTGGACGGACTATGTGAATTCATCATTCTGATTCCTTCACTGGAGAAGAGGATGTGAGGGTGAGACAGACGTCTTCCGAATGCGTGATATCTACAGAACACCACTCTCATCTAGTCTGAACCTCAAAATATATGTACATACAAACCAAAGCAAATACTAACGCAGGAACGACCACAGGGACAGAGCAGGGGGCTGGGAGGCTCGGGGCACACATCTCCCTTGATGGAAACTGTGATTCTTACAGCGAAGGCTGCTGCCTTCAGTAAGACCACTGACCACGGCATCTCACGCTAGAGCCCTCCACCCCCGTCTGATTTAAATTCTTAATGAGAATGCTGGAGGGGGACTATGGCAGAAACTTAATTTATCATATCCACGCTTCAGGCCTTTTCCCTATTAAGCCTATGAAAACACCACTAAAAGGCAAAGCATTTTTAAAAAGGGAACAAAGTTGACCTAATTCCTCTCCTGGGAAGAGGAAACCTACTTAGTAGATGTGAGCTTCCTCCATGCATTTGAATTTTCAGGATCTTGCTTTTATTCAGTGAAGGAGAAGACACGACATATTTTTACTTGTGAGTAAGGAAACACTTTGGGAAGATACCCTAATGCCTGTCTGCACCTTTCACTTGCCCAAGTCAAGGGCTCTTACTTCATCCGGCCCCTCTGTCCTGAAGCTCTACCTGTCTCCTCTGGCCCCTGGACATGCACAGAGCCCACAGACACTGTTACATTTTACACAGGATCCCATGAAATTCTGTTCCATGATGTATTCACCCAGCTTAGTTTCCTTCACATCCATAATTTATAGCCATTCATTTTATCCAAATAAAACCCCCCAGGCTCTTTCAATTCTGCTGCATGTTTGAAATTTTCTGTAATAAAACATTGGGGGAAAATGCCCCATGGCACCCACATTTCCAGATTATTTTTTCAGAAGGCCAGAATGGCAGTTCATCTTCTGTGTTTATTTACAATTCTGCATCCCGCCACGTTTATGAAAGAGATTTTCCCTATGTGCTCTTATGCTTCAGACTGCCAAGCAGCTTGTCCTGTTTCAGATTTATTCCTATCACCTGAGCGGACCTCTCTGGGGGCCCACTCCCCATCTGAACTCTCTCCTCCAGGGGTTGCTGCACCCCATACCGTGTTACATTCCAGACCACACGTGTGCAGGACAGCTCATCTGCCCAGTCATGGGGCATCCAGAGAACGATACACTGCAAACTTGGACAATGACAGGGACCAGAGGTGGCCAAAGAGTCATGTGGGCAGTGCTGTTTTATGCTGAAAGGGGGTTCCTTTACTCAAAAAAAAAAAGAAGTTTTTATGTCTGGGCTCCTTTTCACTTTTTAACATAAAAGGGTTGAATGCATATGGTTAGGAGCAGAAAAATCTCACTACTGCAACCCGAAAGTACCTTCTCACAGCTTTCACATGTGGTGATTAAGATCTATTTTCTCTTTATATTCCACTCAGTTTCCTCTCGCTTCACACTTAGAGGTTTCTGGAGTTGAGGTCACTAGTAATTAGCATCTCATGCAACATACCAGTGGTCTCACCCAAACCCAGGCAAGCTGGGGCCTCTGTCTTACCTTCACTGACTTCAAGCCTCAACAGAGACTATTTCTAGATTCAAGAGATACTATTTCTTTCTTTGAAGCATCAGTGTAAATCCCTATGAATGTGAGTTTTTCCCAAGAGTTGGGCATTCTGTTCCTTGTTGCCAAAGCATCCTAATTAGAATACTAGGGGCTAGGGAGGAGCAAGAGGAGAGGGAGGGAGGAGGAGGATAAGTGGCTGCCAGTCATCAGTACTTACTGTATGTATCAGGCATGGTGCAGGGCGCCTAACTCAAATTATCTTATGATAAAAGACTCCTCTCAAGTAGATTCTTATATTTCCACGTTACACTGAGAAAACTAAGAAGCAGAGAGTTTAAGAACTTGCCTAAGGTTACACAGCAAGAGGTAGGAATGCTGGTGTTCGATCTCACAGCTGACTGACTCCAGAGCTCAGATTCTGAAGCACAGTAAGTGCCCCACAAAGGCCTCCAGAATCTGGCCACATGTCGGGAGGTACTGGCGGAGGACGAAGTGCTCTGGGCCCCATTTGACGCAGTGGGGGCCCAGGAACTGACCTTCTCAGCCTTCTGGTGGAAAATGGAGGACATGTCCAGCAAGGTGCTCCGCTCATCCAGGGCTGCCGCAAACGCCTTCCACTCCTGCTCCAGCTGATTTGCAATCTGCTTGATCTGCTGGGACGCATAGTGGCCCGATTCCACCAAGCGATTTGCCACTGACATGATGCGGTTTATGTTTACATACACATTCTGTAAAAGGGGCAGAAAAAGAGGGCTCACTAGGGGAAGGGAGACGTGACACTTCTAAGGGTGACATCTTCTCAAACATGGCCTAACCTTAAAATTATATTTTTAACAGCAGATTCACCTGGTAAATCATAATATATATATATTGCTATCTGGATTTCCATAAACTCGAAGTATTGGTTTCAATCTCTATTTTTAAAACTGCAAAACTACAAATCAACTAGCTGAAAGGCATATTATTAGGCACAGAGCAATCAAACACATGAGTGGGTGCACACAAATATACCATTACTCACTTAGTGGCTTCTAATCCTGAACAGGGTCCAGATGGTAAGCCTGCCGACAAGCAGTCACCCAGAACTGAAGGAGCCCAACACTGAAGTTTGTAACTGGGATCCAGAAACTACAAACTATGTCCTCAGCAACCACAGGCTGCTCTGTGTGAAACAAGCTCTCCTTTCTACAAGAGCCCAAGTCACCCTTCTGATGCCATCAGAAAACCTTCTGTAAATGGATCCAGTTTCTCTGAGGAATATGAATTGGGGCATAAGCAGAACAATGCTGTGTTCAAACTTTAAATCAAGCTTTTCTACTGGGTGCAAATGCCTATCTTCAAGACCATCAGTTTACTGTAAAAACAAGGGTGCGATCTAAATGTCCACCAGTAGATGAATGGATAAAGAAGATGTGGTACATACACACAATGGAATATTATTCAGCCATATGAAGAAAACAAATCCTACCATTTGCAACAACATGGATGGAGCTAGAGGGTATTATGCTCAGTGAAATAAGCCAGGCGGAGAAAGACAAGTACCAAATGATTTCACTTATATGTGGAGTATAAGAGCAAAGAAAAACTGAAGGAACAAAACAGCAGCAGAATCACAGAACCCACGAATGGACTAACAGTTACCAAAGGGAAAGGGACTGGGGAGGATGGGTGGGAAGGGAGGGATAAGGGTGGGAAAAAGAAAGGAGGCATTACAATTAGCATGTATAATGTGGAGGGGGTATGGGCGGGCTCTACAACACAGAGAAGACAAGTAGTGATTTTACAGCATCTTACTACACTGATGGACAGTGACTGTGAAGGGGTATGTGGGGGAGACATGGTAAAGGGGGGAGCCTAGTAAACATAATGTTCTTCATGTAATTGTAGATTAATGATACCAAAATTTAAAAAAATAAAAAAATAAATGAAAGGGTAAGAGAGAAAAAAAAACAAGGGTGCGAGTCTTAAAAAAAAAATGAACTTTTTACTGCAGAACAGGTTCTCACTATGGTATTTCCCTTTTCACCTTCAATCTCCTTGTAGGGCCCTAGGACAGCAAAAAAGGGGAGGGCACCGCACACCTTCTGCAGTCCCAGGCAACACTGAGGTCCTCGATGGGTCCCCTGAAGCCTGCACACACTTTGGCTTCTCCAAATCTAATTCCCCAACCTGTCCCAACTCTTGTACACCCCCATCCCCCTGTGGTCGTCTGGGCCAACCTCCCACTGCCTGGCCCCTGGACCCCCCATCCCAACCAGCCTCTTCACTGGTAGCTCGTCTGCAGCCACCCAAGTAAGCGTCCTCAAGAACTCACTTGTTCATTCTCTCCTGGCGCCTTCTTCCTCCACTTCTGCCCCAAACCTAAACTAAGTGAAGCTGCCTTTATCTGGGATTAGACAGCCACAGAGCCCAGCTGCTGATTTACTTTTGCAGCCTGAACCAGGTAACAGATGTCTGGTGCCTAAAGTGGCAGGGAGAAAGGACACTTTGTCAGGCTGTGACAGCCAGCTGACGCCATGGTCAGCGGGGGACTGCCTTCCTGGGCTCATGTGGCTCCGATGCCCTAACCAGTATCCTTTAAGTCAAAAGCAATGCCTCCCCTTCTCAAGCAAGGTATCTCTCTCAAGTGACAGGACTAGACTGGCTAATTTTTGCTTTCTCTCCACCCTTAAAGAGAAGCATCAACCAAAAGGTCTGTCAGGAAGAGCGGAAGCAGGGACCCTATGTGAGGATCTGGAGACGAGCCCTTGGAATGGAGAGTATGGTCTGCGGGTCACATCTCCCGTATCTCCAACACTCACAGCACAAAGGACACAGTGGCATGTGGCCACAGTCAGCCACCTATACGCAACAGGGCAGTGCACAAGTCCCTGCATTAAAAGTACCTATGCCTAGGTTCTTCTCATCATAGTTTTAAGGGATCTGTGATACTAAAATGGGCGTAATTGCCAGTATCCCTTAATAATATTCCTTTAAAGATAGTCAACTTCGCATAGTGATACTTTTTTTTTTATTTTGTCAAAAAATGTTTAAAACACTGAAGATAGTACAAGGAAGGACTGAAGGGTAATAGGTCCTGTTCTGCTAAATAAGGGTCCTGGACAGACACCCAGGATTCATAGGGGTGTTGAAGACAAGGAATGGGAAAGGACTCCCAATAGGTGCATCCAGCACAGCCCAGGGCTATCAGATTCTTTTTAAATTAAAATTGTAATTGTGAAGTAATTGTAGAAATTAAAAAATAAACTAAAACCTAAAAAAATAAAATAAAAAAGGTCAAGATCTCACACTCAAATTTTTATAAGCTTCTTACTTAAAAATGCTTTTTTTTATTAAGGTATCATTGATACACAGTCTTAATGACGGTTTCACATAAAAAACATTGTGGATACTACATTCACCCATATTATCGAGTACCCCCCATACCCCACTGCAGTCACTGTCCATCAGTGTAGTAAGATGCCACAAATTTACTACTTGTCTTCTCTGTGCTACACAGTCTTCCCTGTGACCCCACACACACCATGCATACCAATCATGATACCCCCTCATCACTGATAATAATTACCATTTATCAAGTACAACTATGCATTCAGTACTATGTTTAGTATTTGCATACACAGACCAAGTAAAAATAATGTAACACCATGGAAAGTAGGCATTATCCCCACCTTATAGACTAGGACACCGAGGCTCGGAGAGAATAGGTCACATGGTAAACAGGAGCGTCAGGATCAAAGACCTACACTTCCGACTCCCATACCTGCTTCTTTTGAGTCCTAAATCCATCCCTAATAATGCTTAGAGGTGGGAGTATATTGGGTATATTTTCTGTTCTAATTTTTCTAAAATAGACCTCAGTATTTCTAGTTTTTTAAAGTATGTGATACAGTGTGCTGAATGTGCCTTTTGCCATGAGCCTAGGTTTCAGAATATTTTGAAAAATTGACAGGGATTTTTTTACAAAGAAATTCTAAGAAGCTTCTCCCAAAAGCTACCATTTCAGCTTTCCTTATCTATGCCTAGGTTTGATAACTTCAACCAGAAACACTCTCACCTCAAACTCTAGAACAGGTATCAAACTTTTTTGATGTCTATACAGAATTTTCTGATAAATTTTATCTTTGAAAATACCTAAATTGGAGCACCAAACTTTAATTAAATGGCATCTCACTGAGTTAAGTCAAAGACCCTCCCCTCACGCTGCTCTGATGCCCTGTAGGAAGCGTCCTCAGACCCAGGAGGGGTGCTTCTCCCGGCAGCGGCTCTAAGGCTGGATGGAAACTCCCTGTCCCTGAAGAGGGGGTCGGTCTCTACAGAAGGAACCATGTATCCTTAGAAAACAAAGCCTTTTATTTTAGTTATATGAACTCCAAAAATGTAATAGAAGTGCTACTAAAATTCATTTTACTGTTGTTGGTGGCGGGGGAGGCACTGTCCTACAGCAACCCCCACCTGGTCACCACAGGCCAAGGGCGTCAAAGAAATCAACCTCAGAGAGCCAGTGGATTCCAGGCAAGGCTGGCGTCCAGACCCCAGTCCGTCAGTTCAACTTGGAAGGAGATCTCCTGTTTTAGAAGATCAGGAATGTGCACTGAGGTAAGCAGCAGGCCAGCGTATGCCTTTGTTGTGAAGGCAGCCAGCAAAACAGCAGGCCTGTTCAGGAACCCGACTCAGCCTCTGAGAAGCAATTCCAGAGCCCGCGCAGGCTCCGAAGAGGCACAGCCCAGGAGCTGGCAACAGAATGATGCATATTGTGTTGGCCAAGTAACTGGCTCAAGTTTCAATGGTTTGTCTGCTTGTTTGTCTTCATTTTTGTTTAGAACTTCAAACAAGCCACTTAGATGCTGCTAACATACAGGACTCACACTCAGAGGTTAACTGCTACCACCAAGTCATTAACTCTGAAGGCCCCACAGGGCCTCCTGGCAAAGTGCTGAGACGTGACCTGTGTAAATACCTCCACTTGCTAAGATACTTTCACGTGCAGGATGCATCCGTCCTGATGTATCTTACCATACAATTCATGGCGAAGTGGTTGTGCTGCGTCTGAAGCTCCATTGCATGTGGATGGCTGGTTCCAATCTCAGTGTAGCTGTTCAGAAACAGGCCCTTGTTGTGTGTGATCCAGTCAAACATCTACCGGAATGAAAGAGACAATCTGGAATCACTCCAGAAAGAGACATGACTGACACAGGCCCAAGAGTGGGGCCAACCCAACAAAAGGCAGCATCCATCTTCTGACAACCTCACAAGCATTTGGGCCAGGTGATTCTAGATTTCTAAAAAGTCACTAGTTTCCAATTGACAGGATCTAAAGGAAAATCTTACCTTCTGTGCCTCTTTGACAGATGAGGAATTAAGAAACAGACAGGCAAAGAGAGGTACCCAAATCCCTGGGGCTAAATAAAACCCTACTCTTCTGACTTGCAAATGTGCCCCCCTGCTGAAGACCTGCTAGGTGAAATTAGGGATTTACAGGTCTTGGGTGGGTTTTGCCCACAGACTACTGACAATAATTCCAGTGACTAAAGGATCGTGCCCTTTAGGGCAGAAAGTGTATGTTTGTATATAAATATTATGTATATAAAAAACCCATGGCAAATGTAAACAATAGAATGTACCATAAAAATAAAATAGATTGGGAAAAAAATTTAATGATGACATCTCTCTTATGGTTCAATACAGATGCTACTTGGAAAAGGATGTCAATTACATTGTTCACAAAAGAGACATTTAAGGAGAAAGAAATGACTGACCAATAGAATAGCTCCCATGACCTCAACTAGATGGAATCCCAGAGTCTTCTTTTTTTTTAGTAACTGAAAGGCAGTTTTCCTAGTGAGCTTGATAAGGACCTACTTAAATCATAAGTACACAAACAGGTATGTTAAAAGTTTCCCAAATAATAGTACTGAATACACATCCTTTACAAGGTCCTTGTCTACCAAAGATTCCTACTGTAGTTTTTTTACTTTACTGTAAAACATTCATCAGTCCACAAAAAAAAAATTCAGTGAGCTCAACTTAAAAGTGATCAATTCATCTATGGACATGGCTTGGAACACATTCCTATAAATAAGTGTCCTGTTTTCACATTGCTAAGACTGATAAGAATTCACTTTGACCAGTTGGTGTGTCTGGAGCACAAGATTAATACATGAGACCATAAGTAATTACTGCCGGTATTTCACAGAAGCTATCATTTTTAATGCATTGTCTTTTATTTTAAAATCATACTCAGTAACAGATATGAATAGTGTTCTGTCACTGGCTTTGTATGAGTGGAAGAAGAGTTATCAGCAAAATACATACATACATAATTATTGTTTCCAATAACATAATCCTATAAAATTTTCACTCTTTCAATTGAAAATGAATGACATTCTAAACCAAACTAGCAGAGCAGTAACTAATAACTCAGTTTCTAAAGTAGCATTGCATTGCATTGCACTGTGAGAAAAACCAGACAGCCGATGCAGTGGGATCTCCAACAGCTACCTGCTGGTCCCCCACAATGCCAGGAGCGTGGCTCTCTCCTCCCGCACCTTCCTCTCTGCCTTTCTCTGGCCAAACCACCTAGGCTGCTGGGCCCACCAACCCAGGCAGCCTCCCTCCAGACTCACGTATGTCCCCATCTCGGCGTTACCTTCTCGGCGTCCTGCTCAAACAGCCGCAGCTGGAAGCACTGGTCCAGCTTCAGTTTCCGCACATGCCACATCTGGTGCAGGTGCTGCCGTGTCGAGTGCAGTCTGTCCAGCATGGCAGACACCTTGGGTATGAGGCTCTGCAGGTCCGCATTGCCCGACCCCGAGTTCTTTTTGGGAAAGCTGTCACTGCTCTGAATCCTCTGGAGCAGCTTCTGTCCCTCTAAATCCAAGTCCTCTATGGGGGCCTTAATCACCTTCTTCTTCAGCTGGGAATGTTCCTCAATCATATTCCGAGCCCCCTCTAAATCCTGAGGCAACTCCTTCTTAGCGAGAATGTCCTGAAGTTCCTCCAGCCGAGAGAGCATGTGGGTTGCATTGCTAATGTAGTCTTCAAAAGCAACTCTGATTTCAATCCATTCTTCATGGTTGTATTCCAAGCAGCCATCAAACTCGGGAGTTAGCTGAGAAGGATCAACTACTTTGGTAAGGCCTTCTAAAGAGACCATATTTGTCTTAAGGGGGAAAAAAATCACACATGAGAAGATGAACTTAATTTATATGTTCTTATCATAATGCAATTTGCAATGCTTCATCACAGATTTTCAAACTTACAGCAATCTGTTTATAGAAAACATAACATACCTTGTTCTTGTCCCCCAAAAAATAAATGTAGATGAAAGAAACATTAACAGTATACTCAGTGAAAGATAAATCCATTAGAGCAACATATATGTGAGTTGGAGTACCTAAAATTACAGAATCATACATATTTCATGAGAACTGAAGAAATTAGATTCCTTTCCAAAAAATGTGTAAGTTAACCCATTATCTTAGGCACATCTGCAAGGAAATACCTTAAATTGCAAGTACAAAGCAGATGATTCAGAAATTTCACTTCTATTAATGCATTCTTTTTCTGGTCCACACCACTCTATCAACTCAGTCCCCACAGAAAACTCTGTAGGGGTTTCCTACAATGTGCATCAAGCTAAAGCCTAGTTGTGGGCTTAAAAAAGCCCTGTTAACTGTCCCCTCCCTCTAAGGACACTTATATGTGGGCTGCTTATAAATGATAAACACTGCTCCAACCAGGCCACTCATCTTATCATACTTCCACCTCTCAGCAAGTAACAGGATATGAACAACTTCTTAAAAATTTAGAAGAAAGAGTTAGCAAGAAAGCTTACAGATGCACTTTTCATAAAGCTCAAGACAGAGGGAATATTTGATTCATGACTGAGCAGTTCAAGTGCTGTATATCCCAATCTGTACCACATTCCAATCTAACCGTGACAAAGTTTTAGTCAATTACAACCTAAGCAAGAAATCATAACCTCACCCTCCCTCCCTATCAGGTGTACGCAAGGGTTAGTATCAGTCCCAGGCCTCAAGAAAAACACAGTGAGGAGGGGTGACTAAACACAAAAACAAAAGCAAAGGAAAAAAATTTATGGCCTCCAACAAAAAGATAAAGCAGAGGAAGGCTGGTTTAGCTACCCTCTATCACCTGCAGCCTTATAAAACCTTAGAAGTGCATTGCCGTGAAGGCGGGCACAGGACCCACACCAGGGCGCAGGGCCAGAGAGAGCTTCCCCCTAACCCACATAGGGCCTGCAGTGGGACTGTGGGCTCAACAGCGTCTTGTTTGCTTGGATTTTTAATAATGTCCACAGGAGCAATCACTTCAGAGAGACAGAGGCTGGGAACAACACTGAGACAAGTTCAATAGAAGACCTGGTAGAGGTGACTTTAAAGGCCCAGAAGGAGAAACTGAAGTCAGATTAGCAAAACTTGTGCACATTATATGGTCAAACCACGGTTTTTGCTTAAGGCATAATTAAATACAATGCACTTTAAATTCCACATAGAGAAAACAGTAAGACCTAATAAACTGTCTTTCATATTGTGTATGAAGACAAAATATTCTGGTTTCATCTTTCACCTAAATCTCTCAAATGTAGTTTCAAATTCAAATTCAAACTAAATTCAGATTTCAGGTTGAAAATCAGTACCATGGAAAGAGACTTAAAAATGAAAGTAATACACACATGAAAGCACAATGAAAAGTGTAATATGTCACATAACGCCTCAGAATTAATGTGTGTGATGTGTTTAATACTATTATTGCTGTTTACATTCACAGAAACCTAATATTTGGGCAGTTGCTAGAAGAAGTAATCTAGTCAACCAAAAATTGTTTTATTACTAGAAAATATTCAGTGTTATTACAGAATATGGCATGAATCAAGTTTCAAGCTGGCCAGAATACTTCCTCCCCATAATCATCTCATTAGCCTAACTGCACCAAAGCCTCGTGTCAGAACCTTGGTGGCTGAGGAGAGCTTTACAGTGGAAAGGAAGTTGGCACTTGAGGCTTGTTTTTTACACTCTCTTTAAGACAGGGAACTTATGTGCTAACTGAATTCAGTACTCTGCACAGTTTTTACAGGAGTATCTCCCTTTTCATAAACGAGAAACCTGATACATGAAATACATAACAGACCATTCTCTCCACGGCCTAGAACAGGATGCAAACTCTGTCTCTTCCGCATCTTAGCTCAGGGAATCTGAAGTTGGATATTTCTCCCTAACATTCCCTTCTTCCCAAGGCTGAGGCAGTGATAATGGACCTGAAGCCACATAAAGCCCTTTGCGTGACTGGGGAAGCTCTTCATCAAGTGAAGAAAGAGGCAACAGGCTTCTCCTGTGGCGCAGCCGAACACCTTAGCAGCCCCACTGCCTGGAACCAAAGGAGAGCTGAAATCTAAGCCCACCCCAGGTAGAACCATCCACTAGGGCCATGCAATCAGCAAACTGATTTGTTAGTTTACTTTTACACATCATATATATGTAAGCTATGCAGTTCCCATTTAATATGTGGTTTTAAGAACCTATTATCAGCCTAAAATGGTGAGGGGAAAGTCAGCTTTTAATAAACCACACCTACTGGTTTAGTCAGTCTGGCTACACATGGAAGTTACCTCAAATTCAAATTTAGAACTGCCAAAATTAGTCCTCTGCTTCTGCCAGAAGTTGTCCGGCTTGATTATCAGAGCAACGTGAATGCAGCCGGGAAAGGACTCCTGCAGTATCTTCAGCAGAGGCTTAATGGAGTCCCACTTGGACCCGCGCATGTCCACGATCACTGTGAATCCTCGCTTGCAGACTTCTTCACTAGAGACAAAGAAAAAAAGCAGGCCTGACCCGTGTCACTCTTGCCACTTTCCCTGGTCTGAGTGCCCCTGAGTGGGGCCAACTCTGCCTCCTTCATCCCGACATCCCTGGGCTGCTACCTTCGGGCCAGGGGGGCAGCTGGCAGAGGCGGAAGGAAGCAGAGAGAAGAGCAGAGGTCTTACCTGCAGGACCAAACTGTCTCACCCTCCATGTCCTGAAAGAACAGAATCTGACTGCACACCCATTGAGAGCAGTGACAGGGGTCAACTCCAACAACCTTTAAATTTTAAATTTTTATTCACGGTTTTGCAACTTCTGCATTTCTCTTTAGGAGAAAACAATGACCACCCCACCCATTTCTCGTCTTTTCTGTATTAACTAATAGTCTGTACACAAACTGCCTAATAACTATTATAGGGAAGGTCCCTGGTGAGCACTGAGCAGGGACAGACGGTGACATCGAGTGGGCAAGGGGACACGGGACGGGGGCACAGCCACCCCAGCAGCACGCTGACAATGGCAGGAGATCTTCACGTTCCCTGCATCTTGTCCCGGGCCTTACGCTGTCTCAGGGGTTCTCTGAATGTGTCCCCAGCCCCTCTGGGGGAGGGCCTCTGAGTAATCTGTTTTCATAGTGATGCTGAGATTTATTTGTCTTCCTCACTGGGTGGCACTGATGGCCCAACCACTGTGGTGGTGGCACAGTGACCCTGAGCACAAATCAAGGCAGTGCTGAGACCCGTCCTTCCTCTCCACATTCTGGCAGTATGAGCGAACAAAGAAAAAAAGCCAGTTTCTCCTAAGAATGACCTTGATGAAGCAATATGACTGATTCATTAGACCTCAACCCCTGGGTACACAGTAACCAGATGTAATACACTTCTTCAATAAATAAAAAACAAGAGTCAAAGCGTCCTTAAACACAGGCTGAAGGTCCAGCGTCCCACTTGGTTGTAACCAGTGTTACACATGGAAGATTTTGTGATGGCTTCAGAACTGCCTTAGGCTCAAGAACAACCCTAATCCTGTTACATGATGGCCTCCTGTCTGGTTCAGTCCGTGCAGGCTGCTCGTGCTGGTGCCAGGGATTTCCCAGATAACGACTGCCTGCAGGGGCTCTGGAAACATACCTAAGACCTCATAAGCACCCGATGAGAATTTAGGTTTTTATCCAACGTGAGTAGTCACTTTGGGAACATTTGACCTTTTTTGGCCTCAGGTAATCACCCTGAGAAATGACCCTAAATTTAGAACTCAGAATATTAAATGCTATCACTAAGTGATGGTAAAAAGCCAAAAATATTTTAAGTCAAAATTAAAACCAATTTCATGCTCTCTCTTACCCTCTACCCTGTACCTTCTCCCCTACTCCTCACTCTCTTCTTCCTCTCTCACTCACACAAACACACATCAATTTTTCCTTGTCTTGAGTTATACCATCAGTGTAACTGGTATTCCAAAGTTCACCGATATAAAGTTCCTATGACAACTACATTGTGTAAGAAGCACGTCACAAACATTGCAAAAACCTCTGGTGACAGCGGGGAGACGGAGGCTCACAGTTCTTGCAGAAAGGTGTTGAAAGCTATCAAGAAAAAACAGACTGATCCAGCCGCCTATTATCAGTCAAATGTGGAAACCTGCTAGGAAAACTGATTAACTTCCGCTAACTACTTCTACACAAGCATGAACTGCGAAAGAGCCAACGCTTGGCTCACACCCTCCTCAGGCGATCACTCCTCCTCTCGCAAGTACCAAGCAGGTCCTGGGCCAGACACTGGGGAACACCACAGGCCTCTTCACAAATCCACTGCACAGTAGATACATAAACCAACAAAGACCCTCCACTTGAAAAGGCTTAAAAGGAATCCTGAGTAACTCGAGGCTTAACAACAGGAACAAGCTGGAGGACAGCACAACCTAAAGGTAGGTGCCCTGAGCTCGTACAGCTTACAGAAGGATTAACTACTCACCTTCCACAATCAAGCCGTTACAACCAGCGATTTCCCAAGTAATGGAACAGCACATTAGCTGGCCTGGGAGTGCACAGCCTGTCTATCCATCTGTCCTCATCAAGTTAAAAGCCAGAAGTTAGAGCAAAAGCAGTGGTTTGCAAACACCCTCAACTGTGGTTATATTCACGAGCAGTATTCACGAGCAGCTGACGAACGTGTGATTACCCGCAGGCGGGCTCCAAGCCAGTGCTCCGTGGGAGAGACACTGCTCACTGCAAAGGGCAGCCTGTTTACCAGTTCGGTGAGCAGTTTTGCCTGAGAGCCTCCCCCTCTATCTGTGAGATAAAGAAAACCAATGCAGGGCTCTGGAAAAGAGAACTTCTTCTTTCTTTAGTTCCTAGATAAAGAAAAAAAATACCTTTTTTATATAAATGCTCATGAATAAATTAAAATATATTTCATTATTTCATCAGTGACAGAAGAGAGGGTGGTTCATCCATTTAGCTACTATAAATCATTCTAAAGAAAGAAAAATGTTCTAGAACACAGTTAGTATACACACAACTCAAGCAACAAGACAAGTAAATACCTAGAGGTGTAGTGTACTGAGATGGATGCTGTTTTCATCACTGTGCAGGAATCACGATTATGCCAAGAAGTCCACTGTGACTTGTTTTTCCTACACACACTTAATGGAAAGTTTCCTTGCAAATCAATGCTATGAAAAACATTCTATTACTCCAATTTTTTTTTCCAAGGGAAGGTGGCCCAAGTAATAATGCTCAGACTAGTCACCACTGCCTGCATCACATGTTCACCTCCACAGGCCCCATTTGTAAGACTCACACAGACCATCTAGAGACCACACAGAAGAAAAACAAGGTATCTGGCTCTAGCAGAGGTCTGGCACATATCAAAAGGAAAATAACTGAAGAAAAGTAGAAGCAACAATATGGAAGGTGGAAATTACTGTATTTATTCTACGTCATTTACGTGTTCATCCCACATCTCTTATTTGCTCATTAACCAGGGACAGGCAAACCCACAAATCCAAAATAATGTACACACTGTCAATTTGCTGATGATTTCTATTGATCCTACTGTTTGGCTAAAACAAACAGCTCTCCCACAACCAAGTGCTCACTGGAGGCAGCAGGGCTCCTTCTGGTCAGGGTGGGCCCACAGTGCCCACAGAGGGCATTTTGTTGCCATTTCTCTCCATCAGGACCACTGTGACATCTTCCTGCATTACCATTGACAAACGCGTCATTTACGTGTTCATCCCACATCTCTTATTTGCTCATTAACCAGGGACAAGCAAAAGGCACCTCCTGTCACTTGGAATTGTAAATACAAAAGCAAATCCAGGCAATGAAATGAAGTAACTGCTCAGTAGCTGGAGGGTCACACCACACATTTAAATATTCATAAGTGAAATGAGAGGATTTGTTATAAAACATTACAGGGGGAAAAATTATAGAAAAACAGAACTGTCAAAATTTGGTCACTGTTGAAGCCAGATGAAAGGAATATGGGTGTTTGCTAGATTATTTCTGTGTGTGCTTGTCACTATCCATGACAAAAAAATTTTTTTTTAAAAAAACAGGTCATCCAAAATCATCTAAAAACACCTGAATTCATCTTTTGACAATATCAATGAAATGAAAATTTTTTATACTTATAATCAAAACAGATTTCAAAACCAGAAAGTTGCCAAAGTTATATACAAGTAATTATGTAAATACTCTTTTAAAAAATCACTTGGATGAATACCCAATTCAACTTTTATATTAAACTGTGGGGCAAGTATTATTTTGGATGGCAGGGATGTTTTTTTTTACATTGCCCTTTGTATTTCTGTACCTCCTTCCATGAGCAGCACAGTACCTGGCATATGGTAAGAGCTCAGTAAGAGGTGGCTATCAACCACATTGCTCTTTACAAATTGTTATCTATAATAGTGAGTAGTATATAGCTTCTAAAACTCTTTCCAGCTCCATCATTTCAACAGTCAAGAGGAAGGGAAAAACTTTTCCCATATGTGTAAGCAGGGCTCTCACTTTGTCACAGTGACACAAAGTGACCATCTTCCCATGAAGGCCACCCAAACAGGAAAAGCCAACCGCTTCCTCAGCAGCTCAGACCCTCAAAAACAAAAGCTGGCTTTTATCAGCCAAGGAAGGATGGATTACAAATGGGCACCATTATCCTCCCTGTTGGGGTCAGCCTACCTAAGTCAGGGGTGCCAGGACCCATGGGCTGGAGCAGACCTGGTATATTCTACTCAGTCTTTTACAGCCATTACATTGCTGCTGACCACCTATACTATTTATTCTCCTGCGTAATGTGCTCCTTGAAGTTTCTGTCTTCTCTCACCTCCATCAGGACCGAGTTTGCTTTATGCATCCCTATTCCTCTCTTAGGAAATGTGTCCTCACCCTCCCACGTCCATTATGCCCTCCTGCAGCATGTGTCCTGGAATGAACACTACTTTTTCTCACTGGAAGCAGCCGTCATTCCAGGCACAGCTACGCCCTTGGACCATATCACAACAGTGTTCTATTACCCAAAAAATAATATGAACAAGTAAACAGAGAGATTAATGTAGGGGCAAATTTCTTCCACCAGTTGGCAGCCAGCAAGCAAAACTCCAGTAGAGCAGAAACAGAGATCATAAGCCCCTCAAGTACACACAGAGGCCAATCCCTTTTACTCTTCCTCATTCAGGGCTCTCTGGAAAATAAGGCTTTGCCTATTCTTGGTGTTCTTCAGCATTCACACTAAAAATCTCCCTGACTATCACTATGGGGGTTCCCAAGCTGGATGTCTTGGCATATTAGCCGGTAAGATTTTTAATGCCCCATAATCTTCACGTGACAAGTCAACAGACACTTTTAAGGAATGGAAGCTCAGCATAAAAGCAGTCCATTTCTGGTTCCAGTGAATGTATCTTGGTACCAGAACCAGCAAAGACACCTCTGCTTTTTTCCACCACATCCTAACAGCCCAGCCTCTGGCCTCCCAGCCCCACTGCCACCACACAAGGCTCTACACTCGAAACACACACCTTCTTGTCCTTGCATCCAGAGGTGCTGTAAATATGACATAATAGTCACAAAATGCAAAGAAGAAGGAAGATCATGATTTTAATTCTGTGCTGCTTTGTCTGCTTGGAATTCTAGGTAATGGTCAGCTGTTTCTAGAGAGGATGGTGCCATGTCTCTTGGAACAGTGACAACAGTAACAGGCCAGAGAGCACAAGGCACTTACCTGGGGATAGAGGCTAGATACGAAATGAGTCTCCGGAGGTCCTCCTGTCGTATTCTATCATGATTGCTGCGGGCGGGAAATGTTAGAATGGGACCTCCACGCTTATCTCTGCCGCCTGAAAAACAAACGTTTGCAACACACTTAGACAAAAGCAAGGGAAGACAGGGCTCCACATGCCACTGGAAGCCCAACGCCGCCACCCACGCCTCCCGCAGAGCTGTACCCCTATTGCCACCCAGCCAGGAAGGGCTGCGCAGAGGGCGTGAGTCCTTGTTCCAGAGACCTGCTCAAGCTGTGTCACCTCTGGGACTCTGAAGAAAAAGTGAGTGTGCACACCATGTGAGAAGACATCACAGAAAGCCTTGTCTTTTTCTTCCAAGGTGTTCCCTCCTTTCTTCAGCTTTATGTTTGGGGAGGAAAAATGTTTTCAGGTCCACACGCTTCACTCCCCTTAAACAGCCACGTCCCCCTCACACCTTCCCAGCCTCTCTCTCCTTCCCTTCCATGTCTCCCCTCTCCTTCTCTCCCCTGCATCCTAAGCTCTCTCTCTCTGCTAACAACCAAATTAGGCCTTAAGTCATAAAAGGAAGGACAGGAATGCACCTCAAACTTGACATTAATCAAGACTTTATGTAACCTGGGGTCTCACGCATCCCCCTCTCAGTGACAGCACCTGACCCTGGGCCATGCTTTACCAATCCCTCTCACAAGGCCACACCTACAAAAAAAAAAATGTCTGGCATGCAAGAATCTTAATGCAGAACTAAATGAGCTTAAAGACTTCAGGAAAATTGCATCCCATACCAAGCACAAATCTCAGATCATTGGCCTTTGATAGGCAGGAATGTCTTCTACATATACATAGTACTAATGAAGCCTGCTGGTAGCACTGAACCCTTTTGGTAAAAGTAGCATATATATTCTACTATTTCCCTCAGGGTTTTCAGAAGAGATGACAGAGAAAGAAAACTGAGCCTTCCCAAGTGGAGCCTTCATTCAGTTTTACAACTGTATCATCTCATTTCAGAAGTACAGCAGTAAGACCTCAAACTTCAAGTCACAATACAAAACTCTTTATGATTTGATCTTGTTTTTCTTGTCAGCAGAGATAAAATTAAAGAGCAAGCACACTAAGAAAAACAACAAAACAGATTTTTTTCCTTTCAAAAAGGCCAAAAAAATATTTAGCAGAAGATGTTGGTATTTTAAAAAGCATATTTTACCAATATGGGTTTTTATAATTTCCTAGGATGATTAACATTACCTCTAAATAGTAATGCAACTTAATTTTGATTCTGAACACTTGAAATGACCCAAGAGTACTATTCAGTCACATAGTCTAGGAAAGTGTTATTTATAAATCCATTAAGTTAGGTATTAAATGGGAACAATATTAAGTCATAGCTACCAATACATGCAGTGCTTTACACACACGTTCTGATTTCATCATCACTGTGACCCTGCTAAGAGGTTTTATCATTCCAGCTTTATAATTAAGGATGTTGAGGTTCAAAGACCTTCAGTAAAGACAAAGGGACAATGCCAGCATGGTCACAGGTGGGTTCTTTGCCTTAGCAAGAACTTACATAATTTTTCACACTAGTGGCTTTAGCTCTTTCTAAAGTAGTACAACTGTCAGGACAACTAACTAATGATTTCATGAATGCCATTACCAAGTAATCTAAAATATCAGACAGTATTTTTAGAATAATAGCAATGTCTCTAGTTGTTTGGAATACCTTTTGTCCCTAAGATAAGTAACAATTTCACTATTTTCTATTTCCCAATATCTCTCATTCTTTTCAAGAATCAATCTTCTTGATCAAAAATTTTACAGATTAATGCATATTATAGAAACTTGAGTTTTTAAAAATATAGCATGGTATCTGGATTAAAACATTTACCCCACTTGTGGTAAAGAGAATACTATCTAACATTTTTCTGGAACACCATTCTGAATTTTTCAAATGCAACGAACACCATGTTTGACTCAGTAGGGAGAGTAAATAAATGCCAGTGACTGCACCCGCTTCTCCTTCCTCTGGGGTCACCATATAGCACAACGCCAGCAAGGCACGCTCTACCGCGGGTGTGAGAAAGGAATACAAGCCCGGCGGTCAAAGCCAGTCACATGGGAAGTCGACAGGTATGCACACTGCAAGCAGCCCCTCTGTCCACTCTGGATGTGAGAACTGCATGTAGGTGTATGCAGAGGTTCTGGCCGCCGCTGTTGTACTGCTTGCTTCAACTTCCAACTGAGATTCTTCCCAAGCTGGTAGTGCTGACGAGAGTCCCCAAGACTCGCTAGCAAGTTCATCCACCAAACAGGCTCTCTCATTCATGTCCTAAAAAAAGCATCTTTAAACACAAACTTGAATGTTAAGATAGAGGGAAAAAATTCACTGTCTTTGTCCTCCTCCCAAAATAGAGCTTCAGAAAACTCACCAGGATTGTTTTAAAACTTCACCAAAAATCATTTACAAAGTAGAAGCTGCAAATTCTGCATTTAGATAATAATTTGTTTTCACTTGCAAACCTCCCCTGCAAGCATCTTCCCATCTATAGTCTGTCACAGTCAGTGACAGGCAGGTGCTCATCGCCCATCTGCTGACCCCTCCCAGAGATGCTTTAAAAAAAATCGTAAAACAGATGAAACTTACTATCAGAGGAACATGGTCTCTGAACCTTGTTAAAGGAGCTTAAAATCTGATAAACAGATGTCTCTTTAGACTAGATTCCCCAAGAGTCCGCTAGGTAGCCAGTGTCAGAGAAGGTACACCAATACACCAATGAAAATACTGTCCAGGTTATGAAGCAGGAAAGTTACAAGGTCAAAGCTCTTGTCCCTAAACTAATAAAAATAATAATGCTGTAGCTCCTAAAAGCTTTCTCCACTAGACAAACTCCTATGTGTCTGATGTCAACCCACAGCCTCGTGGTGAGGCAGGCAGGACAGAACGCCAGTCCCATTTCAGACAGGAAACTCAGCACCTTTGTTTCTACAATGAAAAGACAGGGCAGAAAATCCATTCTTATACCTACCAATGTCATAGGGTATCTATGTATGGGAGTTTTATAGTTTCTGGACCTCTACATGTCTGCAATAAAAAACCAACAGCTCATTAAGGATTATCTGCCTATCCAAATGCTGTGTTAGTCAAAATATAAAACAAAAAGTTTATTTCATAATGATACTGCTTTATCTTATAAATTCTTATTAAAAAACTGCATCCTCTCTATCCTTCCACTCCCACTACTCCATTATATTTCTATAGTGCCCTCTCACCTCCTAGTCAACTATATGATCACATGTTCTTTTTGTTCAGGTGTCTTCCCTGCTAGAATGGAAGCTCTATGGATGCAGGTATCTTCTTCATTCATGCCATCAGTATGTATTTGCTGTACCCAATAAGAGACTGGCACATAAAAGGTACTAAATAAATACTCGCTGAATGAATGGATTCTTCCTCTATATTCCATACAAAGTTAATTAAGAATACCTACTATCAGGTATCAGGAAGTTAAAATCAGAAATGCCTGATGCACACTTCTATGGAAACACAGACGTTAAATGGACTGAGGTTTATTTTCATGTTAGAAAGAAAAGATCCTGAATTATAGCTGCAATGTCTTTCTCAAAAGGAGTGACATGCCTTTTCCCTCTTTTAAAACGTAGAAGTCCAGGGGACTTGGTCTCTTGAACAGTGTGGCCCAGAATGACCACAGAACAGAAGCAGCTAGATTCAGAGTTACTACTTTTTTCTTGAACAAATTAAGAATTCATCTTTCATCCAATTAGAAAAAACCTCTGTTGTAAGTAAGGCACACTTACTTTGAGGAGTATAGTGTAAATTTCAATGAACCAACTGTATTTTTCTCTGTATGGCTCTTGTTTGAAATTTCAGGATTAGAATACCAGTAAAAACGATTCTTTATACAGTCTAACTCACTGACCATGCAAAGCAACTTTCACAAAGGAAAGCTTTGAAAAGAGAAATTATGGCTGCCACCTATTAAGACTGCTATCAGCTAATAAAACTGTTAAAAGCATGTCCACTGAGCCCTGCTCCAGAAGCCAAAGCCAGGAGTTGGTCATCTGTGGACCTTCACATGCTCACCCCTGGCTGCCTAGTTCTAAGGACCAGAAACTAGCATACAGAGTATTCTGGATGAAGATTCTATGAGGACTCTTTCTGGAATAGTTGGAAGGCCTCTGGGAGTACCTGGCCTTGCAGTCAGTCACTATGATCCCAGACTCTGCTAGATGCTAAAAAGAATATCCCAGGTGGGTGGGAGGTGCCTCCCCATTCCCTTTCTGCAAAACTGGAATGGGAGGAAGTAAGGTCAGTAGTCACAAAAGTAACAGCAAGCCTCTGAGTCATCAGATCCTCCATTCCTGTCAATACCCCCACTTGCAAAGATGAATGATAATTCACCTTGCCCCCAAAGAAGCTATTCTAAAAAAGTTGCCCAAATGTCTATCAACAGGCAACTGACAGGACAAAGTCAGCTTATAACAGCTGTAAAGGGAAGGAGGAATATCTCTATTCTGATATATCGCTCCCCAGAACACTACTTAAAGTGGCACAGTCAAGGCAGAGAAAATGGTGTGTGAATACATCAGTGTTTAGGGGAAGGGAAGATGAGAACAGATAGACGGAGTGAGAGTGTTCATATTTTAGAATTACAGGAAGTAAATGAAAAAACAAATAGAACAAAAACAAAAAAGGTATCCTATGGAGGAGGAAAGATACAGGGCGGAAGACGCAAGGAGAAAACCTAGATTTGACTACACCTTATTTTTAACTTTTTAAAAAAACTTTTAATCCTAGAATGATGTGCACATTTTATTTAATATTGAAGCAACATGAGGTGGTTGTGTTTTTTTTTTAAAGCCTTAAAAAGTGTAAAGCAAAATGAAGCAAATGATCCTAAATTTCACGTTGGCAGGAAAATTTGATTGACACAGAGAGGAACAATTTTATGTCTTTAAAAAACAGTAATAGGACAGCATATTCCTAATGGCGTATCCTTTTAGGACAAGGAAACAACCACAGAAGTATTCAATTACATTTGGTCACCACACTGTGGTAACAGCATCAGTATTACAATGTT